TCTTTTGCTTCCTCTTTCTTCATTGATTCTTCAGGAAATGGTAAGTGTTAGGCGGCATTTGCCATCTCTTTAGCTTGTATGTACTGCTGATTCCTGACTACAGATATCACCGTCACTATATATATCATAGTCCTTACTTCTTGATTTTCTATGTAGCAAATTCTTTGTAGGTGACATAGTTTCCAAAGTGCCGAGCTTTTTTTGAGACTTGCTCACTCTCCAGTTTTACTGCCCATTTTAGTTTCTCCTCTTGTGTTTCTTCAATGTCTGAACAATCTATTCCATCATCGGGTCTTTCATCAGAATCCAAGGTCTGTTTTTTGCTGAGGGCTTGACTGGGGGGCTTTGAGAAGAGATTCTCAAAATCCGTCACCCAGCCAAGGGCTTCCCTCATGGCATACCTACAAAATAAAAAATGTATAGTGTTGATTAACTCTGCTGTTTCCTTGTTGATTTTCTGTCTGGTTGATCTGTCCATTGCTGAAAGTGGAGTATTAAAGTCCCCCAGTACTATTGTATTAGAGTCCAAGTCTCCCTTTAAATTCCTTAGCATTGCTTTAAATAGCCAGGTGCCCTGTAATTAGTTGCATATACATTTATAATAGTTACATATTCCTGTTGAATTTATCCCTTAATCATTACATAGTGCCCTGCTTTGTCTCTTTAAACAGTTTTTGTGTTAGAGTTTATTTTGTCTGATATTAAGATGACTACACCAGCTCTTTTTGGTTTCTGTGGGCATGGTATATCTTTTTCCATCCTTTACTTTCAGTCTGCATGCATCTTTGTTGTTGAGATGTGTTTTTTGTAGACTGCAAACAGATGGGTTTTGTTTTTAAATCTATTCAGCCAGCCTATGTCTTTTAACTGAAGAGTTGAGGCCATTTACATTCAAGGTGGCTATTGATAAGTAATGACTTTGCCCTGCCATTTTCACAAAAATTTTCCTAATTTACACTTTGAATTTCCTTTTATCTTTTGCTGAGAGATTTTCTTCCTTTACCTTCTTTTGTAGTGATGACCATGTTTCTGTGTTTCTGTGTGTAACACATCTTTAATCATCTTTTTCAGGGCTGGATGAGTGGTGACAAATTCTTCCAATTTCTGTTTGTTATGCAAGGTCTTTACTTCACCTTCATTCACAAATGAGAGCTTTGCAGGGTGTAATATTCTGGGATGATAGTTTTTTTCTCTTAAGTCTTGAACTATATCTCACTATTCCCTCCTAGCCTATAGGGTTTCTGATGAGAAGTCTTCTGTGAGTCTAATTGGATATCCTCTGAGAGTAACTTGACATTTATCTCATGCACATTTTAGAATCTTCTCTTTATGTTTCACTGTGGTGAGTTTGATTACAGTGTGTCATAGAGATGATCTTTTCTGGTCATGTTTATTGGGAGTTCTGTGTGCTTCCTGTACTTGGATACTTGGATGTCTCTTTCTTTCTCCAAACCTGGCAACTTTTCTGCTCTTGTTTCACTAAAAAGGCCTTCTAATCCTTTCTCTCTCTCCATGCCTTCAGGAACTCCTAGAACCTGGATATTGTTTTTTTTTTTTTAATAGCATCATGTAGATTCCCAGCAGTGTTTTTCAGTTTTCTAATTTCCTCTTCTTGTCTTTGGTTTGACTGTATATTTTCCTGTGCTTTGTTTTTTTTTTTTTTTGTTTTTTGTTTTTTGTTTTTTGTTTTTTGACAGGCAGAGTGGACAGTGAGAGAGAGAGACAGAGAGAAAGGTCTTCCTTTGCCTTTGGTTCACTCTCCAATGGCCGCCACGGCTGGCGCACTGCGGCCGGCGCACCGTGCTGATCCGATGGCAGGAGCCAGGAGCCAGGTGCTTTTTCCTGGTCTCCCATGGGGTGCAGGGCCCAAGCACTTGGGCCATCCTCCACTGCACTCCCTGGCCACAGCAGAGAGCTGGCCTGGAAGAGGGGCAACCGGGACAGAATCTGGCGCCCCGACTGGGACTAGAACCTGGTGTGCCGGCGCCGCTAGGCGGAGGATTAGCCTAGTGAGCCGCGGCGCCGGCCGTGCTTTGTTTTCTAAGTCCAGTATTCTCTCTTCTGCTTCACTAATTATATTTTTTAAGGCTTTTCACTCTATTTTTTATTTGTTCTGTTGAATTCTTCATTTCAATTTGATTCCTCTTTAGGATCTCAGTTTCATGGGAAAAATTTTCTTTCATGTCCTGCACAGATTTCAGTAGTTTGTGCATTTGTTTTTGATTACTTCTATCTAATCTTATGGTCAAATTTTTAAGTTACATATCTTGCATTTCTTCTATCTCATCATCTTCACAATCTAATATTGAAGTGTTGTGTTCTTTTGGGGGCATCATGTTGTCTTCCTTATTCTTGTTTCTTGGATTGGTGCATTTGTTGTTTGGCATTTGTGGAGATACCCGTTGGTTTCTCCTCCTCCTCCTCCTACTCCTCCATTTCCTCCTTCTGGTCTTCCTCACCCTCCTTCTTCTTGCTGTGGCAACTTTTATCATTGTACTATGACTCTGAATGTTATTCAGCCATAAAAAGAATAATATTTTGTCATTTGCAACAAAATAGATGGAAGTGGAGGACATTATAATTCATGAAGTAAGAGATACAGAAAAACAAATACTGCATGTTATTGCTACGATGTGCTAGCTAAAACAGGTCAACTTTAAGAAGGTATAGATTAGTTATTTTTTAGAAGATTTTATTTATTTATTTCAGAGGTTGAATTATAGACAGAGAGAGGGAGAGACAGAAATTTCTTTAATCTTATGGTTTACTTCTTAAATGGCTGCAGTGGCCAGAGCTGGGCTGATCTGAGGCCAGAGCCAGGAGCTTCTTCTGGGTTTCCCACGTGGGTGCAGGGGCCCAAGTACTTGGGCCATCTTTTACTATTTTCCCAGGCCATTAGCAATGAGCTGGATCAGAAGAAGAGCAGCTGGGACACAAACTGGCATCCGTATAAGACGCCAATGAGACTGGTAGAGGCTTAACCTACTACGCCACAGTGCCAGCCCTAAGAAAATATGAATTGATTATTACTAGAGGCTAGCAAGGTAAGGCAAAGAAGACAGTGAGAAGTTGGACAACAGGTAACAAAACACATTCAGATAGAAGAAGTGAGTTTTGTTGCTCCATGGCACAGTGGGGTGACTAGTTTCCCATAATGAAATACATATTTCATGAGTACTAGAAGAGATTGTAAAGACTACAGAGAAAAATAAGTGGAGAGATATACATGCTAATTACTTTTGATCAGTACCTGCTATATAAATGTGTAGAAACTTATATTGTCTACCATAAGTATGGACATTTATTGCTGTTAAAAATTCAAAGGTTGAAGTCTGCAAGAAAAATGGATAAAACACTTGACAATTATCATCCAATAAGAACAAATGAAAGAGGGGCTGGCACTGTGGCATAGGGGGTAAAGCCGCTACCTGCAGTGCTGGCATCCCATATGGGCACCGTTTCCAGTCTCTGTTGCTCCATTTCGGATCTAGCTCTCTGCTATGGCCTGGGAAAGCAGTAGAAGGTGGCCCAAGTCCTTGGGCCCCGGAGCCACTGGGGAGACCTGGAAGAAGCTCCTGGCTCCTTGCTTTTGATCAGCACATCTCCGGCCATTGAAACATCTGGGGAGTGAACCAGCAAGTGGAAGATCTCTTTCTCTCTCTGCCTCTTGTTCTCTCTGTGTGTAACTCTGACTTTCAAATAAATATATAAATCTCAAAAAAAGAATGAGTGAAAGAATCATAATTTTATTTTTTAATGTTTACTTGAAAGATTGAGCAACAGAGAGAGGGAAGTAGAAAGAGAGATCTTCCATCCTCTGGTCATTCTCCAAATACACACAACAATTAGAGCTGGAGCAGGTCAAAACCAAGAGCCAGAAATTCCATCCAGGTCCCCACATGGGTGACAGAGATCCAAGCCTGCAGGCTCCCAGGTTGTGTAACAGCAGGAAGTGGCTGGAAGTGGAGATGTGATTGTATCCCAAGCACTATGAAATGGATGTCCCAAGGAGTAGCTTACCTGCTGTCCCACCATGCCATCCTGAATTACAATTAATTAATGAAATTTTGTTAAGTGCATGTATAGTATATACCTCTGCATATATTTTGAAATATGTACATTTCTTTCTATATTAGGAATGTGATTCTGCATAGTCAGCATCTTGGGATATATAAACTACAGTGTGGATAAGAAATAATATTAATTTCCTATATTTCCTGGAGTTGTATGGACTCAAATCACAGGAGAGGAACTGTTGCTTCTAACACTGATTGGGATTCGGTTCTCTTGAGAGCAGATTTCTCAAGGTCACATTCCCACATGTCTGCTCCACTGATAGGCATTGACTTACACTTGCCCAGATTTATTCCTGCTGGAATGAACCCAAAGATGCATGATATTAACACAAATGAGACACAGTTTGGGGAGAGAATTTAAAGGAGTGAAGGATGTAATCATAAGTTGAAATTCTAAACCATGATTTGAGACACTGACAGTAAAATCTAGGGAAGCCTGAATAGTCAGTAGTCAAGGCAACAGGCAGGGAGTAATTCTACTGCAGATTATTCAGTAATCAGTTTTGAAGCGGGACCACTCACACTGACATTATCATGTGTAAGCACACCTGGGAGAGATGTACACTTGTTCCCATTAAATCTACCTGTAGCCTGATGTTTCTGAGAGTTTCTACTCTTTTCTGTCAATTCTTGCCAATAGATAAACCACATGTCCATAACACACGCAATCTGTTCTTCCAGAAGAAAGAATCCTAAGATCCACTTCAGGTTTCTCCTCACAGTCTACAAGGTATATTCTCCCCATTGGTTACACTAATACAATTTACTCATGGAAGATTTCACTCTGTTCTATCTTTTACTTTACAATTCAGTCATTTTTAATGAAAAAATTTTGCTGTTTTGATCCATGGCATTATTTCCTAGGAATGGCAAGGTCAGAGCAATGCCAGACTTGGGGGAGCAGAGACTGCAGTGGGGTGCATCTGAGATATTTAGCAAAGCTCTCTATTTTATTACAATCTTAGTGGGTACATATGTGACCTGTAGAAAGAGATTTCCTATTGGACTGAATCAAGATGGTTGTTTTGTCTGAGGGATTCTTGTCCAGTTTAAGAAGTAGGAAATGTAAGAGGAGGAAGGACTTTATTTCTGAAGTAGTCAGTGGATGCCAGCGTTTTTCTGATCAAGTGGACTAATCCTGTTGGTGACAAACCAGTACCCTCTAGTTCATTTAAAATGTCTCAGAAGAGTGCTGAGAAGATGAAGTGGAATCCTGAACCCCACATTTTCACCATGTTTCTTTGTGCCAAACTTCATCATTTCCGACTGGGGACACACTTGGACCTTGGTTTACGTGACTCATGGCTGTTTCCCTTGTTCTCCAAAGATGCCTGTCAGGGTGTGAGGATCTGGTAAGCGGTTTAACAGTTGAGGCTCTGTCCAGAAGAGGGCAGCACGTCTCTGCTGATGCACGATGTGGGACTGGCTCTTTTTGCTTGGCTTCTCTAAGAGCAGGCTAAAGACAGAAGCAGGTTGCTGCGCAGCCAGTTTGAAAAACGACTGGTCTTAGGAGGACAGGAAGAGACAACTGATAATCGCTGTAGCTTTCCTGGCTGGAGATTGCAAGTCCTGATAGGTGGAGCCATGAGGACTCTTTCTGGACCGTTCTTCCTGTTCTTGTGGCTGCAGCTGTATTGTGAGTTTGGAGCTTTGGGAAATCAGGGTGATTAGCAAATGTTCTTTAGAAGTCTGAGTGGAGGCGGGCATTTTCTAGGCTGCCTGAAATCATTGTGGAAAAAAAATTTTGGGAAATGATGACTTGATGATCGTGTGTGACTTCTCCTTTTGTACAGCTGTGAGTAGAGGAGAGACGGTGGAGCAGAGTCCTTCTTTCCTGAATGTCCAGGAGGGAGACGGCTGTGTTATCAACTGCACTTACACAGACAGTGCCTCCACCTACTTCTACTGGTATAAGCAAGAACCTGGAGCAAGCCTCCAGTTGCTTTTAAATATTATCTCAAGTATGGACAAGAAAGAAGAGAAGAGATTCACTGTCTTCATGAATAAGAAGGACAAACATCTCTCCCTGCACATCACAGCTGCCCGTGCTGTGGACTCAGCCACCTACTTCTGTGCAGCCCAGCACAGTGCTCCCCATCCACCCGAAGCCTGTACCCAAACCTGCAGCAAGGCTGTTGCAGTCACTGGGAGGAGTGAACCAGCACCTGTATGATCTCTCCTCTCTCTCTCTCTCTTTCTCTCTCTTCATTTTTTAAAAAAAAATGCAGATTATTTATTTGAAAGGCAGTTGACAAAGAGAATTGGTGAGGGAAGGAGGGAGAGATGGTGAGAGGGAGGGATAGATAGTTAGATCATTCATTCCATTGTTCACTCTCCAAATGGTGCTAAGAGCTGTATCTGGGCTAGGCTGATGGCAGTGGAGGTGGTCCAAGAACTCGGGCTATCTTTTGCTGCCTTCTCAGGCATGTTAGCAGAATCTAGATCAGAAATCGAGCAGAGAACTTGAATTGGTGTTGTGATAAGCAATGCCAGTACAATAAGTGGTAGCTTAACCTGCTGAGCCACAGTGCCAGTCTCCACTCATAAATAAATAAAACTCAATGAAAAGAGTAAAAAAAAGAACATATGCAATGGAATCTGAAGATCTGCTCTATTTAATTTTGACACTTGAGTCCAGGATTTTTGGTGCTATGTTTTCAATAGATGGACACGTAAAACATTTGAAAGAAATTCACTTTCAAAGTGACCCAATAAATGTTAGAACATTTTGAATGAGTTATTGTTGGGAGTTAGTGATCTTGAGTTAGATCTCTAGGGTTTACCTTACTGGCAAAAATAAGTTTTCTCCCTTTGTGGACTTGTTGTCAAGGTTAGAGAATTCTCTTCATGATCGAAATGTCTTTATACTTTATTAGTATTTTTATTGACTTTTCTGTGAAATTATTAATACATGGTATGAGAAAATAGTAAAATGCAAGGTAAAAATTAAAATGTAATTCTGTCATAAAAATAAATAAAATCTGGATTAAAAAAACCAGGGCCTATGTATATACTGCCTACAAGAAACACACTACACCAATAAGGGTACGCAGTCTGAAAGTTAAAGGATGAAAAAGATATTCCATGCAAATGGAAGTTAAAAAACAAGCAGGCTGGCTGGAATGACAAATAAATCATTTATAATATTTGGTGTCCCTTCTTTGATAAATTTTGATAAAAATTAAATTCACAAGACCACTACTTTGAATTATTTCTGCATATTATAAATCAAGAATCTTGCATTTGCTCAATCTTGTGAAATTCAATTTTTGCAAGTCACTCCTTTCTTTCTTCTGCCATTCTCCTCCTATCCTTGTGGTGAGGGATGGCATTTCTGAACTCTGATATTACCTTTTGTACAGAGTTTCACAAATGCCTGTTTAAGTGCTTTGCCCATTTCTTAACTGGGTTGTTTTGTTTTTGTTGAGTTTCTTGACTCTTTATATCCTCTAGTTTTTAATTCTTTATCAGTTTTATATTTCACAAATAATTTTTTCCCATTCTGTTGGTTGTCTCTTCGTTTGCTGAGTGTTTTTTAAAATTTATTTACTTATTTGAAAGGGAGAATTAGAATGAGGCAGATGCAGAAAGAGAGAGGTCTTTCATCTGTTGGTTCACTCCACAAATGGCCACAATGGCCGGAGTTGGGCCAATCCAAAACCAGGATCCAGGAGCTTCTTCCAGGTCTCCCATGAAGTGCAGGGGCTCAAGGACTGGGGCCATCTTCCACTGCCTTCCTGGGCCAAAGTAGAGAGCTAGATCAGAAGAGGAGCAGCTGGGACTTGAACCATTGCCCACATAGGGTGCTGGCACTGCCGGCGGTGACTTCACCCAATACACTACAACACCGGCCCCTTATGAGTGTTTCTGTTGCAGTGCCGAAACTTGTCAACTTGATGTAATCCCATTTGTCACATTTTGACTTTGATTGCCTGTGCTTCTGGTGTCTTTTCCAAGAAGTCTTTGCTTATACCAATGTCTTGCTGATTTTCCTCAATGTTCTCTAGCAATTGGTGGTATCAGATCCATTTTGAGTGGATTTTTGTGTACGATGTAAGGTAGGGTTCTAGTTTCATACTTCTGCATGTGCAGATCCTGTTTCCCCAGCACCATTTGTTAAAGAGACTGTCCTTGGTCCAGGGATTGATTTTAGCTCTTTTGTCAAAGAGGAGTTGATTGTAGATGTATGGATTGATTTCTGGAATTTCCATTCTGTTCCAATGGCAAATGAATCTGTTTTTGTGCCAGTGCCAGGCTGTTTTGGTTATAAGTGAGCCATAGTATGTCTTGAAATCAGGTATTGGGATGCCTCCAGTGTTATTCTTGTTCTAAAAGAGTGATTTAGGGGCTGGCACTGTAGCACAGCGAGTTAAAGCTGAGGCCTATAGCGCCAGCATCCCATATGGGTGCTGGTTTGAGTCTGAGCTCCGCTTCTGATCCAGCTCTCTGGTATGGCCTGGGAAGGCAGTAGAAGATGGCTCAAGTGCTGCACCCACTAGGGAGACCCAGAAGAAGCTCTTGGCTCCTATTTGGATCAGCTCAGCTCAGCTCTTTCCATTGTGGTCATTTGAGGAGTGAACCAGTGGATGGAAGACCTCTCTCTCTCTCTCTCGCTCTCTTACTCTATCTCTCTTTAACTGTCTCCTCGAAAAGATGAAAATAATAAGATTGATTTTAGCTATTCAGGGTTTCTTTTGTTTCCATATGATTTTTTTAATATTATTTATTTATTTGAAAGTCAGAGTTACAGAGAGAGAGGAGAAGCAGAGAGAATGAGAGGTCTTCCCTCTGATTGTTCACTCCTCAATTGGCCACAATGGCTGGAGCTATGCCTTTCTGAAGCAAGGGGTCAGGAGCTTCTTTTGCGTCTCCCATGTGGGTGTAGGGGCCCAAGGACTTGGGCCATCTTCTACTGCTTTCCCAGGCCATAGCAGAGAGCTGGATCAGAAGTAGAGTGGCCAGGTCTAGAACCAGTGCCCATTGGGATGCTGGTGCTTCAGACCAGGGCATTATCCCACTGCGCCATACCGACAGCCCCCTCCCTATGAATTTTAGCATTCTTTTTTCTAGATCTGCAAAGAATGTCATTGGTATTTTGATTGAAATCACATTGAATCTGTACATTGCTTTTGGTAGTATGGACATTTTCATGATATGGTTCTTCCAATTCATGAATGTAGAAGCTTTTTCCATTCTTTAAAATGTCCTTTTCTAGTTCTTTCTTCAGTGTTTTGTAATTTTCATCATAGAGATCTTTGACATCCTTGATTAAATTTATTCCAAGGTATTTAATTCTTTTTGTAGTTATTGTGAATTGGATTGATCTTATAAGTTCTTTCTCATCAGGGCGTTGTCTGTGTGGAAAAATGTTATTGATTTTTTATGTTGATTTTACACCCTGCTGCTTTACTAAAGTCTTTCATGAGTTCCAATTGTTTGTTAGTGGAGTCCCTATATGTAGAATCATGTCATCTGCAAATAGGGGTAGTTGATTTTTTTCCTTCCCAATTTGTATTCCTTTGATCTTTTTCTTGCCTAATGGCTCTGGCTAAAACTTCCAGGACTATATCAAAGTTCACACCCTTGTCTGGTTCTGGATCTCAGTGGGAATACTTACAGCTTTTCCTCATTCAGTAGGATGCTGGCCTTGTGTTTGTCATAAATTGCCTTGGTTGTGTTGAGGAATGTTCCTCCCATAATCTATTTGCTTAAGGTTTTCATCATGAAAAGATGTTGTATTTTATGAAATGCTTTCTCTGCATCTCTTAAGTAAAAAAGCCATCTAGTTTTTGTTCTTCAGTTTGTTGATGTGCTATATCACATCTATTAATTTGCAAATGTTGAATCATCCCTGCATTTCAGGGATAACTCACACTAGGTCCAGGTGAATGATCTTTCTGATGTGTTGTTGGATTTAATTAGCTAAAATTTCTTGAGAATTTTTGCTTCTATGTTCATCAGGGATATTGATCTATAGTTTTCTTTCTCTGTTGTATCATTTTCTGGTTTAGGAAGTAAGATGATACTGGCTTCATAGAAGGAGTTAGGGAGGATTTCCTCCATTTCAATTATTTTGAATAGCTTGAGAAATGGAATTTGTTCTTTAAACATCTGGTAGAATTCAGCAGTAGGTGCTGGCACTGTGGCACAGCTGGTTAACGCCCTGGCCTGTAGCACCAGCACCCCATATGTGCACCAGTTCTAGTCCTGGCTGCTCCTCTTCTGATCCAGCTCTCTGCTGTGGCCTAGAAAAGCAGCAGAAGATGGCCCAAGCCCTTGGGTCCATGCACCCATGTGGGAGACCCGGAAGAATCTCCTGGCTCCTGGCTTCAGATTGGCGCAGCTCTGGCATTGCAGCCATCTTGGGAATCAAGCAGCAGATGGAAGACACCTCTCTCTCTCTTTCTGCCTCTCCTCTCTCTGTGTAACTCTTTCAAATAAATAAATAAATGCTAAAAAAAAGAATTCAGCAGTAAAGCCATTTGGTCCTGAACTTTTCTTTTCTGATAGGGTCTTTATTACCAATTTAATTTCCATATTGGTTATTGCTTTGTTAACATTTTCTTTTTTTAAGATTTGTTTATTTACTTGAAAGAGTTACACACAGAGAGAAGGAGAGGCAGAGAGAGAGGTCTTCCATCTGCTGGTTCACTCCCCAGTTGGCTGCAATGGCTGGAGCTGTGCCAATCCAAAGCAAGGAGCCAGGAGCCTTCTCTGGGTCTCCCACGCAGATGCAGGGTCTAAGGACTTGGCCATCTTCTACTGCTTTCCCAGGCCACAGCAGAGAGCTGGATTGGAAGTGGAGCAGCTGGGACTGAACCAGCGCCCATATTTATGCTGGCACTGAAGGTGGCGACTTTACCTGCTATGGCACAGTGCCGGCTTCTGTTAATGTTTTCTGTGTGTTCTGACTCAGTTTTGGTAGATTGTATGGGTCTAGGAATCTATATATTTCCTCTATGTTTCCCAATTTGTTGGCATACTGCTCTTTGTAGTAATTCCTGATTATTCTTTTTATTTCTGTGGTATCTGGTTTTTTGATTCCTTTTTTACCTCTGATTTTATTGATTTGGATCTGCTCTTTTTTTTTGTTAGTTGGGCCAATGGTGTATCAATATTGTGTATTTTTTCTTTTTTCTTTTTATTTTTTAATATTGTGAATTTTTTCAAAAAA